TGTTGACATCAGCACCAGCTTCAATCAGTGCATGGACTACCTTTACATCCCATACATCATGGAGCAAAGCTGTTTTGCCATCCTTATCAGGTTTGTTGACATCAACACCAGCTTCAATTATTGCATCGTAGATTAACTTTTCATTGTATACACGGCCCTGCAGTAACATGAGACTACAATTAATTAGATCTTGCAATTGCTCTTTTGATACTTCACCGTTTTCGACCAATGGCTTTGTCAGCATTGCAATAAACATAAATTCGCCTTGTTTTAAATACAAAAAATCGTTAGAAAATTTGCAGATAACTTTCACGAACGACATCTTCATGTCATATACTGATAATAATAATCTCGGCAGTAAAGAAATTTGAGCCGGTAATGTACAATTAGAGACATTTACACTTTCGAGGTGAGCTAATTCACTCAAATCGTATATAATCTCACTTAACGTTTTTATGGTCCAATCAGAAACCGAACATTTTCCTTCAGTCTGTGTTCCCATGAGAGGAAAAGTATATGATTGATTTACTAGCAGTGACTGGCGAATGTGACCGAAAGAATACTCTGAAATACTTGTTTTTTGCCTTGCTACTTTTTTACCAAACTCGTGCTCGAGCTCACTTAAATTCACACGAAATTCCAAGTACGAAGTTTGAAGTTCAAAGCGGTCATATTTAGTATAGCATTCCTTAAGGTATTCTTTCCTCAATCCTTTTTGCGAAATTAAACGTTCGGCAGATAACTTGATGACAATTCTAGAACTTGAACTTGTAGATGTACCAGATGAGCTATCACTAGCAAGTAAGCCTTCTTCGTATGCGTCACTTGATGAATTGTTAACATCAAGCTTGATTGCTTTGGGATTGAACGATTTGAAAGGTTTCATACTTGTTTCCGACTCAGTTGTGCTGTGCTTCTCATGTTTCTCAGTGCTTTCTCGAGCCTGCATTCCTGATTTGAGACGAGACGGAGTCCTCAATTCCCCAGGACCGATACTTTCTTTCGACTCAGTTGTGCTGTCTTTCTCATGTTTGTTAGTGCTCTGCCTAGCCCCCATCGTATATACTGGTTTTTAAGATCGCTTCTTTCTTAAAATGATAAGCTTGATTATGCGTAGAGAGAATAAGAGAAAAATATCATATGCCCTTGGCAGGATTCGAACCCACGTCTTCGGTATTCTAGTCCGATGTGTTAACCACTACACTACAAGGACCAACCACGCTGGTAACGCAGCCAGAATATGAAATGTAGGGTATTCGTGAGGATCCCAGAGCGATATTTTTACTCTATAGATAAGTTGAACACCGTAAATATGTACGCAGATAATAGACATAGTAAAGTAGTAATATGTCTATGTCTATTATCTGCGTACATATTTACGGTGTTCAACTTATCTATAGAGTAAAAATATCGCTCTGGGATCCTCACGAATACCCTACATTTCATATTCTGGCTGCGTTACCAGCGTGGTTGGTCCTTGTAGTGTAGTGGTTAACACATCGGACTAGAATACCGAAGACGTGGGTTCGAATCCTGCCAAGGGCATATGATATTTTTCTCTTATTCTCTCTACTTCATTCTATACACACCGAACGCATAATTTATTACTACTTGATTATGCGTATTTCCGCCTTCGATCCTTTGTGTCTTCGATGCATCTCGAAACTATCAAGAAGCGATGATTCGATTCTTCAAACTATTGTTAGCGAATCTTTCGTCGTTTCATGGTTAGAGTTGATGCGAAAGCGTTGCCTATTAAAAAATGTCAATGTTACTGAACGCTTTTAGCTTTCACAAACAAAGTTAATGGTTCGAGAAGCTTCGACCTATATTTGGAGTTCTGATAATGCAACGCGTCATTAAAATGAGGTCATGAGACTGGGAACGAGTTTTTAGAATAACCACGTACCAACCTCGTACCATTCCGTACCATAACAACAAGAAAGAAATCATCGAAATTAGTAAATTTCTGGAGTTTCAAGATCATGTTCGATTTCATATCTTTTGTGTAGCAACGATTAACCTCCCAAACATCTCAAAAATCAAAAAGAAATGGCAATCGAAGCCATACGTACTGCTGAAACCTGTTAATTTTGATGTGCTCTTTCTTGTGTGGAAATACTTTTTCAATAAGATTAATCATAACCTTTGCACTCGTTCTTACTCTTAGTACTTCACTCGTTTCTTGTATGACTTGATAATTTTCATAGGAGATCGGAGTAGATCTTAGTTTAATTGCATTATTGTTCTAACTTTAAGTGAAAATAATAAAATCGGTTGTGTAATAACCGTTTTTCTAGAATCTCCTCGCTGAGCTATACCTTCGACATGGGTCATTGCCGTTTGTGTCTATTGCACTATTAATAAGCACTAGACACTATGCCATCGAGTTTACAGAGATATAATTTCTAAGCAGTTGTAACCGTGTTGAAAAGTAATAACTAAGCTGTAAACCAATAAAGTTATATATGCAAAACACTTGTGGTCAATATTTACTGCATTCAGCGAACCTCGACAATATGTTACACATAATATGATGAACAATAAAGCAAGTTTAACAAATTCACGTCTGATAATAATCATTGTCTGCATGATCTTCTACCCGACAAGAGAAACTTGCAGAATCGAGGCCATAATTTACGGTTTTGGCGGCGACTTAGAAAATTTCGAGTATGAGTAAAATATTGTCAAACATTTCTCACAAATCAAAATAAATATAATCAAACTTGTCATGATGCATGACGTTTATTCATTATTTGCATATATCGCAGCGACAGTTGCACTGAGGTGAATCCAACTGGCAATCACGCAGATGAGAAGATAATGAGAACAACAACAACAACAACAACAAAAAATCCGTAGACATACAATAAATTAGGAATAACAAATCGAACTGTCACGCAAATTGAATACGATGAGGGAATATTTTTTCATCACGTCGATAGTTAACTAATAAAAAAATACAATAAAATACAGACGATTGATGATCAAAATAAATCATGACGTCACCCTCTATCAATCTAAAAATAGAAGATGATCTTAAAACCCCGATGAATCTGGAAATCCAAGATCCGAAATCGACCGAGGGCAATGAATCCGCATGATCCTGATGTAGAACGCTCATTTCATATCTACTGATATCACTAAAATCCACAAGGATTTCCAAATTAAAAGTTTCGAAATTTTGATCCAATTCCTTTTGTT